ACACACACACACACACACAACCCCTCCAAATTTAACTGTGAGTTAGATCATTTTGGAACTGGCCTAAGGATTTCAAACAAGGTCTTAAACCTTTCCCTTCTGTGGCTGTGACAATAATAACGGCATGTTAAGACTGTCGAGGGAGTCAATGAGATGGCACGCTTACACGCCTAAAACACTTGGCATATTTATTTACACAGAATAAATAGCCAAGATACCCCTGCTTCCCCAGGCTAGAGTCCGAATGGGGCCAACCAAGAGTTGGAGAACTCTCAGTCAAAGCAGTGAGCTATAAGATCATGCTACATCATTTTTCAAAGGGAGGTAAACTCAGAGCCAGAGCTATTCATCCAGAGAAGAAGTTAGAAGCAGGATGCCAGGATTCCTCTTTGACAGACTGATCCCCCTGCCCTTACTGACTTGTGCAAAGCAAGGGCTCTGGGTGGTGTCAGTTTTTCTCATTGGGGGAAACTCAAGCCGGCATTCTCCTTTAATCAGCTCCCTTGGACTTGAGTGTGGCCTGGTGAAGCCAGAGAGGTTTTCACAATTCCAGGAGACAAAACAAAACTATCTAATCAATTTTGCTGAGGGCAGAAGAAATAGGGCAAGCAGAGCTCTTCCTAAATGAAACCCGAGAGCCTTTGGAGGTTTGCATGAAAGCAGATGTCTCCGGGCTTGCTCGGAGCCATGTGCTAACTTGATCATCCACAACAGCTGCCCCGCCCCAGCGACCTGCCCCGCCGGCGTGCAGCCAGGACACGGAGGGCCGGAGCTGTCGCAATCTTGTATTTGTGCGTTTTTCAGATCCCTGGCCTGAGACGTGGTGTGAGCCTGATTAGGTAGGAAAGCACAGCTTTGCTCCTTCGTGCAGCTCCCACCAGCACAGGCTCTTAGGATGTGCTTCTACTCCTTGAGAAAGCGTTGGGTTTTTCCAGCACCATGCAGTGGGGGCCTCTGGGAGAAGCAAGTCTTGAATGTCTCTCTTTCTGTCCCCTGCCCCTTCCGCAACCCAGTTCTGTCTGGAGAACCTCTGAGAACAAACCGAGTGCTTCCGGCGATTCCGAGCCAGAGGGGACATGGCCCACCAGCTGAAGAGACTGAGCGCTCCTCCAGTCCCACCCAGGATGGGAACTAGCTGCAGGCCGCTCTCTGTGGAAATAGAGAAGATACATATTTTTCAACTTTCCAGCGGTGAGATTGCTCTGGTTTATAGGAACGAAGTCTTCATTTAGTAAGTTGTGCTCTACAAGCCATTCACGGTTTTATAATTCAAGATTCCTTATTTCAAATAAATATACTTCCTAAATACATACTTAGGATCTTCAGGTGTGCAAACATTACCAAGTCTATGAGTTTCTGTGACTTTCCCTACATGCTGTAATTCAGAAGCAAAATACATTCCTAGCAGGAGGATTTAGGTGCATTTCATTCATATTTGTGGCATGTTTACTGTTTTGTCTGGGTTTTTTTTTTTTTTTTCCTTTTTCTTTTCTTTTTTTTTTTTTCTTTTTGCTTATTTGTTGACTTTATGTAATTTTTTAAGTGTATGCTTTGCTGAATAAAAATATAAGAAAAGTAAATCCTAGACTTGTTTTTCACATTTGTTTCCATTCTACCTCAGCCTGACAAAATATAATTAAAATTTAGTACTAAATTCCTGATTGTCAGTCACAGTGTATGGCTCTGAAATGCATGATCTTCTGCAAAATATTTTCTGATATTGTCAGCTCTTGGCGAAACCCCAAGTCACTTGACAGTGTTTCTTGTCTCTGTTATTTAATTAGTTCCACTTTCTGTTGTTTTCAAACATGTTTGATGACCCCAGTAATAAAAAAGGTCATGGGAGCTGGCAAGGTGTACTCCCTGGTCTGATTGAATTTCTCACCGGGTCCTCAAACATTCTACCTGTTAAGAATTCTCTTGGAGCTGGAGAGATGGCTTGGTGGGTAAGAGTACTGTCTGCTCTTCCAAATGGACCCGGGTTCAATTCCCAGCAACCACACGGCAGCTCACAACTGTCTGTAACGCCAGTTCCAAGGGATCTGACATCTTCACACTAATGCACATAAAATAAAATAAATTATTTTTTAAAAAAGAATTCTCTTCTTTTTTTGTTTCAAAATAATGATTTCTGCCTTCAAGGCCTTCTCAAATTTGAGACTTAGCAAGCTTCTGGAGGACAACGTGAGAAGGCAGCATACTGTTTGGACTGACTTTGGCCAAAGGCCTTGCCTCCAGTCATGTAAGGAGACAGTCACTCCGAATTACAACTGGGTCTTCAGGTTTTGGAAATGTGTCAAGTAGAACATTAACTACTTTATGTTAGGGTTATTCTCTAGTGGGAATATGCTCTGCCTTTATGATACAGAGCCTTCTACTCATGGTACATCACAGGACCCAATGTCGACACTCAAACATCTAATTTCATTTCTGGAAGGGTGTAGAGATGTAGAGAGGGAGTGGTCAAGAGGTAATGAGTGGTGAGAACCCCATCCTGCCCGTGGTGGTTGTACTTGAGGCTATGAAAGAGAAAGCAGATGGCTCAGACTCCTACACTGAGCAGAACTGAGGAAAAGCAAAGCCTATGACACACAGAGGAACCTTTAAGAGATAGCTTCTCAAAGGTGTTTTGTTGTTTTGTTTTTTTTTTCTTGTTGTTTTGTTTATGGGGTTTTTGTCTTCAAAGCCTATGTGTTTGTAAGCATCTGACTGTTAACTTGTTCAGTGTTTCACCAGGCTACTTTAGAATCTGTTTTCACTCACTAGTAAATGTCTCGCCCTGTATTGCCTAGACTAGCTAGGATAGGCAAGTTTGTGCTTCAATAATAAACATCTCCCATAAGTCTCTTTGGGCAATGCATTTTGTTCCTCAGCCACAGTACATGTGCCACAGCAGCTGGCAGAGCTGTTTAGTATAGATGCCATCCCGACATGGGACAGTGATCAAAGCAAAGGAAATGAACCATGAGTTACCATTTCACGGTTCCTTTGCCAAATCAAATTGTGTGGATGTTACTAATCTTAAGTGGGGAGGGGTGTAGAAATTCAATATCTTTGTATTTTCAGAAAATAGGGAATTAAAATATGTATACATGATCATAGCAATGACTACACTAAACAAAAGAGAGAGGGCCCATGATTGAGTAGATAGATCAAAACAAATCTTTAAACCTATTCTGCTATCAATAAAGCCACCATCCCTGACACCTGAGTTAACATAGGTACACATAGAAAGACTTTTCCAGTGAGGGGCCTTTCAGTTCAACTTGGCACAGAAAGTTTTGTTATCTGTGAAGACGTGCTGTGCAGCTACCACCACCTCTCCAAAGAGAGGTGTCCTTCTGCCAAGAGATGAAGTTGCCTGTGGCAGAAATTGATCAATGGGTATCGTTTAACTGACTACAGGAGGTACTGAGCGTGATGGCTTCCATCTTAAATGGTTCTCAAAGGACTGTGTTAAAGGCTTCACCTCAGGCTTGGTGCTGTTGGGAACTGGCAGACTCCAAAAGGGATTGGGGCTTAAACAGGAAGTCTTCCTGCCATTGGGGACCTTAAAGGGAACCCTGGGATGCTGGCTGTGCCCTCTGACTCTTTGAATTTCCTATCCTGGGCATGCTACCATGCACTCGCCAGCTTTCTGTGTTGCCTCCTACAGAGCAAAGAACAATGAGGGCAGGTGACCAGGGACCCCGATATCCAAAACCACGAGTCAAAATCAGATCCTCCTCTTAGAGCTGCCTCCACAGGCAGGTCAGTACAGGAGTGAAACACCCACAACACACTAGGGATTCCCTAGGATTGGAATTAAATGCAGGGTAGAGCACCTGCCTGCTCTACATGAGGCCATGTAGTCAATCCTCAGCACCACCGAGGGGAAGAGCACCAACCACTGCTTTTCAAAGCGTCAAGGAATCTTTTCTTCGAAAATGAGTATTTGTTGTTTTATCACTTACATGTCTCTTCATTACTGAGTCTGTATCATTACTTTACATGTGTAAACAAATTCTTTCCTTTGACTTCCTCGGTCAACATATAAGATTGGTCCAGTCATTCCCCAGCTCCATCTTCCAGACAAATAATTTGAAGCAGAAAGAGAAGTTAAGTAACTTGCCCCAAATCGTACGCTTAACAAATGGCAGAGCCAGGCTTAGCAAATAGGTTTCATTTGTTCCATGGCTCCCATACAGAATGCCCAAACTATCATTTTCCTGGTCCAGAAACTTACTCTCATTTCACAGTGCAGTATGTCCTTCCTGACTTTTATGCATTCTGTCCATCTACAAAGGCAAAGCAGAGCCACTGTGGCTACTTTCAGGAAGTACACAGCAACCCAGTACTTTGGGTTAAACTATCAGAGCTAGAGGAAGTCAGGGCTTTATTTATTTTCTCCGCATTTCTTGGTTCCCTGTGGAAATCACCTGGCTTAGCAGTGGTGTCACTTTTCCCAATAAATACGTAACTCTATTGTTCTCATCTTCTTGGAATTAAGCCAGTATAAATAGATTTCTGTGACTCCAGATTATTTATTTCAACTCTCCCAAAACACAGCTTGACACTCAGTGTGATTTTAGAAAAGTTCACCAAGTAACAAATTAGAAATACTGTGCCTTCCAGGAAGACAAACATGGTCATTAATTTTGCTTTGGCCTCTGTTCTTTGAAATTAATCCACGCTTGTGTCCCAGCAAATGCTTCCTGGCACTTTGAAGGTGGTCTTGAAAACAACCCATTGGACTTCTTGACAGCAGCTCCTTGGAGACAGGGTTGGAATGAGGTAACTAAGAAAACATTGTATTTGACCTTCGCATAAAATATAATACCCAAGTGAAGAAATTTTAAAAAGGAATGTGATAGCAACTCTTGCATATAGAGAACTAGTCTCTTTGTGTATTCTGGGGAGGCGGAGGTCACATTTACAATCAAGTAACTAAATTAGAATTGCATATTTCCTAGACATTAACATGGACATGGAAATATTAGTACTGATAGATAAAGACTGACAACAAACTTTGTAGCTTAGTAGTAAGGGTTTGCCTGATGAATGAAATGACACAGCCGCTCCAAGGTCTGGTTGAGGAGATGGTTTATAATTGTAGATATCAAAGAGATAACAACCGGAGGCCTCCTGGAAGAATTCAGAACGAAGAAAGAAACAACAGTGGACTGAACATGGCTTAGCAGAGTGAACTGGGACAAGGGGGGGAGGCTGAACTGAGAGAGGACCAAGAGAGAGGGGCAGGAGAGAGAGAGAGAGAGAGAGAGAGAGAGAGAGAGAACAAAGGAGACAGAGAGAGGACCAAGAGAGAGGAGCAGGAGAGCCAAGAGGAGAAAGGGCAAAGAGAGGAGAGAGAGCAAGAGAGTAACAGGAGGGAGGGAGAGGGGGAAGAGAGAGAGAGAACAAAGGAGACAGAGAGAGGACCAAGAGGGCTCATGGCTGAAATGCCAGGGTCATAGGTGAATCAGAAGCAGGCAGAAGGGAAGGGAAGTGCCCCCATGTGCTGAAGAGGTTTAGGGTAAGAAACAAGATGAAAAGAGCAGATCCACAGGTACTGAGCCAGCCTGGAGGCCTGCTTGCACTGCAGTTAGCCATCTGTTCTGAGTTTGTTTCAGACCTAACACCAGCATCTGCAAAGCTCTGGCTTCGAGTCCTTGTGCATGCACACACACATACACATACGCGCACACACATACTCCGATAGCCTCTCAAAGTAAACACCTTCCATTTTGACCTCTATTCAAGTCTAACTTCTGTTTCCTTGAGTAATTTACTGGGTTCCAGAACATTTTCAGAAGTCAAACTTAGGGGGATTAGTTGAGTAAATTGCATCAAAATGTAGCGTTTCCGGTCAGCAGGTGATATGCATGCATGCTGTGACCAGGAGGATAAAGGTAGTTTTCACACAGATGTGTGAAAAACAGGAAATGAGTTGTTGATCATTAAACTCTGAGGCTAAAATTTATTAATGGTGAAACACTTTGCAGTTGCTAGCAGTCAACAGGCTATAAGGAAACCAGTCAGCTCAGGAGGATGAGGTAGAATCGCACTGGTTGACACTGAAGGAAGGAAGCTGGAGATTTTGGAGACTGAGCTTGCCTGTCAGGTAGAAAGGCAGGTGCAGTGCTGAGTAATTGTAATTGACCCCACATGAGCAGCAGATGCTGGCATGACAGATAACCAACATCTCTGGTGCCCTAACAGTGAGCCACCTGTGTCCATTAGAGTTGTAACCACAGTTTTCAGGGTTAGATGCCTGGGTTCCAGGGCCACCAACAAACAAAGTTTGGCCTCCCATCCTGATCTGCCAATTAAAGACACAAGTAACAGTGATGAGCAAAGGTGGGAATAGAGATAAAGGGGTCCAGAAACCCCCAAGTCCATCTTCAGAGCACTCTCACGAGCTTTGGGTTCAAACAGAAAGAGAATGTAGTGAAGGGCAAGAGGAATGAACAGTTAAGCAATCTATTCAGGGTGTGGTCTCCTTGGTCAGTGTGTCAGAACAGAGCCTGCAAAGTGGCTCAAAGCGGGAAGGCCTTGTTGCTTGAGGGAGAAGGGTGAAGAAGTCCTCATTGCCTGAGTAGACAAGGGTTCTCAGGAGATGGGTATCTCTGCTCCCGGGGACTACCTTGCCTTCATGGAAAACCTCCTCTGGCAGGTTGTCTGTCCTCTAAAGTTGCAGTTTTCTTTAAAATCAAGATAACAGGTTTATGGCAGTGGCTGAGACGGGTTAGGCAGGCATTCCATGAGTGAGGCTTTTCTTTTGCCCACATTTAGTTCCCTGTAGGCCTGAGTGGGAAGTCAATGCTTTTTGGCAAAAACACCTGCAATCAGTAGACAGAATGAAGGAAATCATTTCTATTGCTTCTATTCATATGACACAAAACTATCCCCAAAAGGCTTTTAAGATAAGCCAAGTCTGCACGCTGAATACTTAGACACTGATAATAGATAGAAGAGTTATGAGGAAGTGGCCAAATCCAGAGACTTGGCCCCTGTAATGAGCAAGTCAAGCCTGGGCTCAGCCTCAGGAAGAGTTCCACTTTCCTTGACTAACATCTCATG